AAACTGTCTGTTTCCAATCGCATGATAGCTCAGTCGAAAGTATCGTCGCCGCCATGTAAGAAATCCCGGGTTGGCCAGCGAGATCGAAAGAGGGAAACAGGATCAGCTGGTGGTTAAATAACTAACGGATACATATCATATATCCAACTCGATCAGATATGTCATTGCAGAGAGCTGACAGAGGGTGTGGACCAACAGAAAACGTTGTGAAATTAATTTCTCGAGACACATCCTTGCACTCCTCAAAGCAAATTATGCAGCGGACGTGAGTAAGTACATGGATATGCATTATGACTTTGAGATCAATCACTAAACTCGGGACCACTGAGACGTGCTGGCGTAATAAAATTCTTTCTTCCCTTTATTTTGCTTCGGCGCAACATAACTGAAGTAGGTGTTTTTTAGGCATGGGAAATACTAGCTGTTCAGGAAACGGCACGTCACTACCGCCACTATTCCCTAAAATATCCTTGAAACGCGGTCAGCAAAATGGATCCTATATAGACTTAGTCTCTGGGGCCGGGCGTTCGTATAGGCTGTGATATTTTCGGCTTCAAAATGGTATGTATATGTACATTACATATCTCTGGCAATTAAATAAAAAGTTTGGGCAGATCTGCTTATATCGCACGGCCTTCCCTGTTGTTGCTATTAATCTATCGGCGTTTGACGTCACGACTCGAACTCGAATTCCGTTCGGAGAAACGACGCTGTTACAATATTCCGGTGATAAAGTGTTTGCCATTGCTCTATTCCTTATCAATGGATTACAGGTTCATGTCGTTGTCACCTCACTCCCCCGAAATACCACATCCTTTTTTTGGAGAGCCAGCAGAGAGTCCCTCAGATTCTTCCAGCCCTGTATTTCCCAATGTAAGTCCATTCCAATTCAAGTCTTGAATTAGCTTGTTGGCTGATAAAGATTTCTAGGGTATGGAAGCGACAATGTACACCGATGTAGAGAGTTCATATGGCAGAGTTCCATTTGATGACGGTTCATCACCACATCAGGATCCCATCGCCGGGAAAATTCCTTTAGAATATATTGGTTCAACAACACTCGATGAACATGACCGAATACGCAGGAGAAGAAACAATGGCCGTGAAAGGGAGATTGTAACAAACATGCATCTTGTATGCGCTAACTTCTAATTTATTCCACATCTTAAAATCACTCAACTTTGGTTAATTATTGCCTAGAGACGTCGTGCTCAAAACAGAGCCTCTCAACGCGCATTCCGAGAACGAAAGGAACAACACCTTAAAAGTCTTGAAAGTAGACTACACGACCTCAGCAGCAAATACCATGATCTGTTACAGTCATATGCCCGACAAGCAGAGGCAGTTCAACATCTCATCGATCGCATCCAACAATTGACTACAGAACTTGAGCTTCTCAGATCCACAAATGATGGGACAATGGGTGAAATGTCACCACAATATAAATTTGACATTATTGCGTACCCCGAGTCGTGCCCCAGCCCTGAATACCATTACAACAAGTCGGCTGGCAAACTGAACAATGAACAGCTGACATACGGTCCCCACAACGTCTTTCCGTAGTTGAGTGTGCAAATTTGAAATGTCTTACTGATTTCCTATGTTCTTTCTCTTTCTCCAGATGTTATCTATAGCAATATAGGATACCTAGGTGTTTTTCACAAGAGACAAGATTGCTCACTGTGTAAGGAGCCTGTTTTACTTCGAAAAGTTTTCACAGATGCTATACTGAGTGCGGAGCAACGGGCAATGATCTGAATTCTATTCTTTTCCGAATAATGGTTGACAAAAGTGAGGACTTGGACGCCCTCTTCTTTTCCTCCGTGTCCACGACTGGCTGGTTTTTCCGTATTCATATTTATTGTGTTTACGGAGTCGTAGGCAGTTATATTCATGAGGAGAGCACGGCAATCTACTCAGCGATACAGTAGCGAAGGGCAATTTGGAATAAAGGGAAGAGAATTTGGTCCAACCTGGGTGTAGAGGTTTAGCTCACCTCACCTCACCACAAAGATTGAACCAACTAGTCGCCTTCACGACAATGTTCCCAAGGCCTACAAACAAGGCTCAAAGACTCTGGTGGAGAGTCATATATAACACGATGACTTGGTTCCTCCGGACGGCCTTTCTCTCATCACTCTTAAGAAAAGGAGACCAGGATATGAGATGCCACAGCAGCAGTAACCCACTACAAAGAGAGTCTCAAAAAACATACTCTGATGGAACATGCACAATGTCTGAAAAGGATTTATCTAAACAGAGCAATAAAAGTCAAGGACTTTGAGAAAATTTGAAGAAAGGTTCATAGCCATATCAACACTATGTGAGAACTGAGATGCTTGTGAACTAAGAATGAGGGGAAACGGCAGAGGGGAGCCAGAAAGCACTCTAACCTCCTAGAACGCCGTGCTGAAGACGAACACTGAGACCTGGGCCCAGAATCAGGTAATAAATACTCTGATAATCCTGCAAGAAGCCTATTGGAAGGAAAATAGCACAGTGTTGTCCCTGGTTATCCAGTCCTGGTGAGCATATCTCCTCTAGCAGGACCCCTAGGCTGCTGAGAAACAAAACAAAAAAAAAAAAAGAAAGAAAAGAAAAAAAGAAAAACTTGAGCGAGCTGGATCTACTCAGCCGTATCTTCATCTCTAATCTCTAACTCAGAATTCTAAAGTAGACCCCCTCTTTAATCCTTTCTCATTGCTTGGGGTTTGTTTTGACAGTAAAATCTAAAAGCAGACGTTTACTATTTATCCGAATCTTAAAATAAGCTTACAGAAGTTACCAAAGAACGCCACTGGCTGGAACCCAACCCACATTGTTGAGATAAGGTTAGGCCAATCAGCAACTAGTTAGTTACTTCAGCCCTACATGGCCCCCACCCAAATCTCACTCAAATGAAAGGGGGCATATGAGGAGGAAGAGGTTGGATCAAGGGCCAATTGCAGCCAGAAACAAGTTTTCATTTCAAAAATAGCTCGGATTGCCCGTTAGCCAATGGATGCCTGTGTTTCTTGAAGGATTCGCATCTTTCCATATTCATTATTCCGCCCCCCCACCACCATGAACTCGACGCAGCGACTTGACGAGGAAACTACTACAGTTACACTTCGCCATGGTAACTATTTTGTTTCAATATTGTTCAGGAATAATAGTTCCTTGCATCCTGATGCGACCATGTTTCCCGTGGCGTCTTGTCTCATGTTGCCCAACCATCCCGCCGCCGAAAAAAAAAACGTTGTCCGGCCCGGGAAATAATAATAGCACCCAAAGGGGCGTTTGGTGGCATTGTGCATTGGAGAGATGACATTGCATGGACTCTTTTTCCAGGAGGCGTCTAGTTCGTTGGTTTCGCTTATTTTACGTAAACTCCGGATCACCGAGGTGCTCCATTGGAAGAACGCCGACAGGCGGCCGAGGCAAATATTTACATTTAGTATTTGCATCCAGATCAGCGGGGGGAGGATGGTTAGGGTCGAATTAAGAGAAGACGTGGAAGCGCAAAAGGCCTTTGGTATGCATATTGAAAGTGTGAAGCGTGATTCCAGAGAACAGCAGTCTTTCTCTTATTTATCTTTTCTCTTTTCTTTCTCCCTTTTTTTTGTTGACCAGAAAATACAGCCTCTCTGTGATTTTGCTGCCATTCGCCTAAGAACCCTCAAAAACAGAGAATGAAGCTTAAATGTTTGCTAAAATGAAAAGCTGGGTGGGAATAGGGTAACGTACTATAATAATCCGCCAAGTTGATTTCTTAAAGTTTCATTCAAGCTTCCTCCATACAGATTCAGGAGCATAAGTTTCATGTGTCATATCTATCCATTTGGATTCCTCGTTTGATGCATCACCATTAGGAGTTCTTTTCTTTCTGTTCGTTAGCATCTAACAATGGCATGCCTCATCACTTCAATAAATATTATCGAATAGCTGAGCCGGGTCAATAATTCTATAAAGAAGCGCCCACTCGGTCTGATTGACATTCCTTCTCAATCTTTATCTTCCTTCTTGCCAAAACCATTTCAAGAAGTGCGGGGTCTAGCAAAGGAGCTGAACTATTAGATCCCAAATGGAGTCTTAAAAATACACCAAATTCGAGTGGGTTGTGCTGAATAGATTGGGATTCCCAGGGCCTCGTTCTTGAGCAAGAGTCCATCTAGGTCGGATGTTATATCAGCCCACGGCAGATCATATTTCACAGTGTGGTATATTGCCTTTTAGCATTCTGTTCACTATGATTCAAGCTGATCTGGGAGCTTAATCACCCATGTTCTTTTAGTCATTTTCAACCTTAGCCTTTACCTAGCGTCCACTTGACCTTTATGGTGATGATGAATA